AACTTTCTTCATTGTCATTGCCGTGAAAACCTCAAAACTTACATACAATTTACTTGTTTATGCAGTATGTTTAAGCTGAATATTAGTCTGGAATAAGTTTCCTACATAGAACTCTGAAGCAGAATGCTTATTTCTGCTTCATTAGAACTCATGTGTTGGAATGAAAGCAAATAGATTTCCCATTGCCTATGAAGTGGTTCAAATACAGTGATGATCACACCTGACACTACTTCTTCATACTGTTCCAACTTCTACATACTGTAGACACTTATGGACTTTCATTTCAAAATACCTTCACAGTATTCTGTAACACATCTGACACTGATGCGCATAACAAGTTACTTTCCCTTCCTTGTTATTTATATTATATGTATTTTCTCAGCTCTCCACTTCTCTAATTATTGTCTCTATACCCTATTAATGGAATTTTCATTTTTATACAATTCAATTTTGTTTAATGAAAAACTTTCAAAGAATTCATTCCATAAATGATATATACTCCGTCTCAAGTGCAAACAATATATTCTGTGTCTTTGATCTTGCTCCCTACACTACATGTTTCGGCCTCAGACAGCCATCATCAGGTGTATAACACTCACGTCGCTGTCACACTGCACCCATTTCAAAATTTAACATCTAAAACACTCTCCCTGTCATTATCAACTTCTACTTCGTTGATAGCTGTCCACCCGTAGATTACTTCACACTCATTAATTTTGACTTTATTGTAATAGCACCATAATAAAATCTTTAGTTCTATTTATCGTATGGAGTGCAACAGGATGCTTAAATATAATATTGTAAATTCATTCCACTTATTAAACTATAAATTACCACATTAATGAATTCACATCACAGGTGGCCAATATTCTTGTACCATTCCAGCTCTCACCTTGAGGTAATCTTCTATTGTGACAGCCGCAAGAGAGTTGACGGCTGATGATACTGTACTTAAGGATCCACTGAATATACCAGCAACAAACAACCCTGCAAGGCCTGGCATGTTTTTCAAACTATCTACTACGTACAGAGGCATCAACTGGAAAAAACAGATTGTCTGTTAAATTTCAGATTAGTTCACTTCACATCAGAGTTAGTGAAGGTGCAAGCTAGAATATGACACTCTCTAAATCATTAATGTGGTCATCCATCACTTTCTCATTTGGTGTCATGTGAACTCAGTGGCTGACAAACTGACATTAAACAAGTGAATATAAAAAAACTGAAATAATTACCAGTTAATAATTCTCTCTTAACATTGCGGTAACAATTATAAATGGCAGAAAATATGGTTAATTGGTGGAATTCAGTCAATGCAACTGCTCTGCTTAATCATAACTGTCAGCAGAGGAAAAAANACCCCGCAACTGTGATAAGTAATTGTAGCCGTTAGTTGTAGATTGTTAAATAAACCAATTAACCATCTCTACGGCGTCTTCAGTAACGAGGAAACACGTTACAATATGATACCACGCATGATAAAATATTTATTGCCATTATCTTAAGTATTTTTACTATTTAATTAGATAAATTCAAAAATAGTATTTATGCTCTTATGTAAAATTATATTTTAATTTGATATGTATTTAAATATTTTCATAGTTTATATATTTATACGCAGTTAGTCCTTTATAAGTCCAGATGGGAGGAAGCTACATTTAATTATTATTAAGAATAAAATACTTTGACACTATTTGCATCTATCTGGAACACAATTACTGACTGTTTTGTAATCTTCACATATGATTATTCAGAATATCACTGTTGATTGTTCAATATATAAATTAGGAAAAATATACATAGTACAAACATTTTTGTTAATGTAGTATCCTAACTATAGGTTGGCAACTGTACCTAGGTCACCGTGGCCAAGTTTGCTTTCATCATGTAATTCAATGTGGACGGAGCATGAAATAAAATGGTCATAAGAGACTAGAACAAGACATAATGCCTTTAGTTATTTAACCTTTCAGTTCCCATATGGATAAGGAGTGAAAAATAGAGCATGTCTCATTTTGGTCCGTCACACTATTAATTACAGAGTAGATAATGAAAAGTTCAATCCAGTGTGACATACGAGTTTACAACACTTCAGTCCACATTCACCTTACATGTTTTGATTCAAAAGAATCATCTTCTGAGGTGCACCACTACGATAAGGAAACACTGTCACATAAGATATTTTAACAATATGCACTTTAGATATGACTAATGCTCTCTATATAAATTTTGTTATCATGGTTGGTTTTGATGTTTGTCTTAGGCACTCACAATGGCGCTTCTTGAAGTGTAGATTTACTGGTTATTCTGACTGGGGTTTTTCCACTGCACGCAATATTGTGTTCACTTTTCCATACAGTAGACTCCCAATATATTGTAGTTCACGTCTTTCACAAACGACACAGCACGCACGTGAACTACACTACTAATAATAAGAACATAAAATCAAGAGAAATAAACGATGTCTCCCACCATCAGGAGGAAAACAACATGACCCAATGTCGGCTCAAGATATTTTAACATAATAACTAATTTTTTACATGGAAATTTTAATACAATTTTAAATATATTGGGAGTCTACTGTACGGAAAAGCAAACACAATATTGTGTGCAGTGGAAAAACCCCAGTCAGAATAACCAGTAAATCTACACTTCAAGAAGTGCCATTGTGAGTGCGTAAGACAAACGTCAAAATCAACCGTGATAACAAAATTTATATAGAGAGCATTAGTCATATCTAAAGTGCATATTGTTAAAATATCTTATGTGACAGTGTTTCCTTATCGTAGTTGTGTGCCTCTGAAGATGATTCTTTTGAATCGAAACATGTAAGGTGAATGAGGACTGAAGTGTTTTAAACTCGTATGTCACACTGGACTGAACTTTTCATTACCTACTCTGTAAAAATAGAGCAGTTTAATTATCTCCAAAAAATGGAAAGAGTTATAAAAAATATAGTGAATATAAAATGTGTATTTCAACATTTTTCAAAACATGTTTAACTTTGATCAAGATTTATGATTGAGATATGCATAGTACCATAAGTTTACATGAATGTAAAGTTTCCATTCTTTTGGTCTGATTTAGCTACAGTTGGAATATGTTGAGAAATTTTAGTAAAAATCTCCAACATCAAATATCCTGAAAATATGCCTAGCAGTTCTTGGTTTGTTTCATGCATGCAGACAGAAAAATACCAGATCAATAGGTAATTTTAAGAGGCACTCCACAGGGTTGAAATAATGCCTAGAACTAAACTAAGGTAAACTATATTCTGGTCCAGATGTGAGGAATGGAGTGTCATGACTCGGTTTCTCAAATTATGTAACTACATTTCCTCTATACCAGATGTGAAAGTTTTAGTGACATGACTCAATTTTATGAACCAGACAGTAATAATTCCTCTACATGACATGCAAATTTAAAGATGCCATGACTTGGTCTCATGAATTAGGATACATCATTTCCTGTACGCCAGATCATGCCATCATCATTACAATGCCATGATTTTTTCCTTCAGTTTCCTTCATTGGCCCTGCACTAATATGTATTAAGGTTGCAGTGTCATGATTCATTCTTGAATAAGGTGTCATCTCTTCTGCACCAGATATGAAGGTTATACTGTTATGACTCAAGTTTTGTTTTTTAGGTGGGAAGATTTAAACCCCAGACCCTAACACAGTGTGAGAGGAGTTTCCAGTGGACATTTAAATTCAGATATGCAAAATAACACTGGCTCCTGAACTAGTTAATAGCTACTATCTCCTCACAATGAGAATAAAATTTAAGAATTTTTTAAGAATATGAGAAAACACTCCACTTAAAATATCTTCAATATTTGCAGTGACAAAAGTTAACTAGCTGACAAAATGTCTATGACATTTGAAAAGTCACTTGCTCCAAGAAAAATTGATAAATCTTCTTGATACATAAAAAAATAGCTTAAGCTTTTATCTCAGAGCATATTCAAGCAGAATTCATGTGGTTAAAGTACTATGTTTTTTAACATTATCCATTGTCTTGTCTTTATTTAAAAAACATCCTGTTTATTTTTCAAAACACAAGGTTTCAGAGACTGGATTCTGTCTCCATTTTCAGGTAAAACCTAGCTAGTCCCTATCTCCAGAGATAGGGACTAGCTCTATCAATTGGGCCCAACTGAGTAGGTTTTATCTGAAGATGGATACAGAATCCAGTCTCTGAAACGTTGTGTTTTGAAAAATAAACAGGGCGGGTTTTAAATAAAGACAAGACGATGGACAATGACAAAAAAAAAATATTTGTACAAATGTACCATTGTCACAAACTTTTAGATCTTGTGGTTCAAGTTCTACTCATGAGATAGAATCATAAAGAATGAGCAGTATCTACATGCAGTGCACAGCACACCACAGGAGCAGATAGCAACTGAGTAGCATTCAGTGCGTGGAACTCTACCCTAACGGCTAAGTGCCGATGTGAAAGTTTTCCTACCTAAAACGTAACCTTACTCTTTATTACATTGAACGAGATCACTTTAGGACTCTCCAAAGGAACACTGGAGTGAGACAGTAATACAGCCATAGTTCAGTTTCTTGCATTAAGCACTGTCACTCTCTGCACTAAATATGAAGTTTAGGCTGCCATGACTCACTTTCTTGAAGGAGGTAGTGTCACTTTTCAGGATCAGATGTGAATGTTTCAAGTACTATGAGTTTTTTTGAATGATTCAGTCTTATTTTCTAAACACCTGATGCAAAAGTTACAGTATCATTGACCAGTTTCATAAATTGAGCATTTCCTCTACACGACAGAAAGTTTATACTGCCATGATTAAATTCCTTGAATTAATGGTAGGCAAAGAGATCTCCTCTGCACAAGACAGAAAGTTTATAGTGCCATGATTAAATTCCTTGAATTAATGGTAGGCAAAGACATCTCCTCTGCACAAGACAGAAAGTTTATACTACCATGATTAAATTCCTTGAATTAATGTTAGGCAAAGACATCTCCTCTGCAAAAGATGTCTGTCTGTTCATGTTCTATTTCAAATCTACGTGCAATTCATCACATACTTTTTCAATAATGTTTCAATTTCATCTTCAATAACCATCTAATTAATGAGTGTAGTCTGCACAAATTTCTGGAAGGAGCAAAGCAAGTTTTGCTTGACACCTCATTCCTGTTAGCTATTTGCTTGGCTTTGACTTTGACTCTGACAATGGACACAGTATTGTCACGTGTTGGGTATGACCCTTTAAATCATCCATGAGCTTCTGTTTGAACTACATGGCATTATATCCCTGAAGACAATGCTCTTCACAATCAGTGTGAGAACCTTATATCCACTATAACTGTACTGGGAATGAAGAATATGATTAATCTAAGGTTCATGATCATACACATTTTAAAATTACATGTCAGTACTAAAATGGGTTTCATACCTGGTCATATGCAGATATACGTCCAGCTTTTAATGGATCACAGCCATAGTATTTGGAATAAATAGCAAGCCCTGAGAAAGAGGTGCTGAGGCTGAGCAGAGATAGAACGGGCCAGCTGATCCACAGGGCTTGCTGTGATTTCTTCAAGTCCCTGTTTCAAAGGAGCAAGGGTAAATATGTCATAATTCTTGGCTAAAATGAAGATTAGATTCTTTTTCAGTGCCAAATTTGTACCCCTTCATCATGCTCTTTAATTATTCTAAAACCTAAAAGAAATAAAGTAATTGGAAAATGGTGGATGTTACATAATGGGAATTTTATTACTTATACAACTGACCTGATATTCATAGGACATTGAAAGAAAAGAGATTATGATGGGAATGGCATGTAGCATAGATAAAAAATATAAGAAAATCTACAAAATCTGAATATGGAAACTTCTTGAAAAATAGCCACCAGCAATAACAAAAACGTGAGGAATTTTGAGAAATATGTTATGAGGATGTGAACTGGTTTGGACTGATTTAGTGTCATGCTGAGTTGGTGGGCTTCAGTGCTGCTGAATCTTTGGATTCTGCTACCAGAGAATAAGTTGTTCTGACACTAGCAGACCGATTAATTCAAATGGCTTCTGAATAATTATGTGCTACTATGCAGATGCAACAACAACCATCTACATCCTGCTGTGTTTAGAATGGAAAAGGATTAATGAACACGAATAAATGTAGACTATACACTAACCAGATAAAGAAAGTTCATGGGCTAATTCATGGCAAAATTTAATGCCAAAATCAGTGACTTTAAAAATACATATATAACAACCTAAGGAAGACTCTTTTTTCCATGGAAGTAAGACATGAAATTTTGAAAATGTATACACATTGATAAGTTAATACATACACTCATATCACTGCAAAACAGCTACTGTATACACACTCCATTACCTACTAAAGACTAGCATTAATCTTGTAAGACTTCCCAATCATGTGAGTCATATATGCATTTTTCTTCAGAAAAAAGCTTAACTGTGAAGTTGAGACAGAGAAGAACATATTATAGAATTGTTTACTTTAGTGTGAGCAGACGCTGTACTTGAGCCTGGTTCACCGCATACAGTGACAAGTATGTGAAGCCTCCACCAATGACTAGACTCCACCACGTGTGGCGCACAGTCGGATCAGGGTCGAAACTGCAATGGAATAATGCAACAGCATGGAGTGACATATTAATTATTCAGATCAACTGTCTTTAGATGACTGTTACTTGTGGAGAATGTATACAGGAACGGTGGTGGCGGTGGTGGTGGCGGCGGCGGTCGCATCAGTGGCGGTGGTGATGCAGAAGTGATAACAGAGATTAAGTCAATAATGACAACACAACAACTGGAGCACTTGAATGACAAGAAGAATGACACTTTAAAGTCTGCCTGGGAGCTGAAGGAAACACTTTCGATGTTTGCTATACAATATTCCTGTCATCTTGCTTTGATCCTTAAGAGACATGTAAGAATTTAAATTACGATCTAAGAGACTGTTTTGTTGACAATCACTACATGATCAGTAACTCCTGATGTACTCAATAACTCACTTGTCAAATTCAATTCTGTTCCCATCAACAGCTATCTCCCACACTTCTGTCAGACCTCCTGCATCCACTGTAGCTTTGATGATCACCACATAAACGGCTGCGAACATTAACAACGACTGAGAACAGAAAATCAATCATTACATTTTAATGATACAACAACATGCATGTAAAACAAACAAATTTGGTATAACATTTAATTACATCTGTATAAGAATGAAATGTGTTCAGACATGTACTGAGGAACTCTCTCAGACTGCATCCACTTAGAAGAATGGTTGGGAGGTATGAGAATAATAATAAAATGGGCCTTAGGGGAGCAGGCTGTGAGGATGCAAAATGGTATAAACTGCAGCAGTCAATCTGCTTATCTGCTCTGCCAGGGGATGCCTATCCATAAGGGCCAGGGATTCTACTAGTCTTTATCACCTTACTGGACAGAAAGAAATCTGATGACTTTATAATTTCTTTATATTCAGTATGGCATCATGAGCAGAATTTGTTTATGTTGGAAGAAGTTCATGAATGGCTTGCCTACGCGGACCCAGCCTTAGCTCATTTTTCCACAGAAGTTCCTTTCACTTGCTTATGGTTTTTGTTAAGTGTTATACCTACCATTCACAGGTCTGTTCTGCTGTTGTTACTTGCACTGGAGGATCCTGACACTTTGGGTTTTTGTAGAATACCATACATATTCACGTCTCCCCCATTTTATGAACAAAAGTTATGCTCCCTCCCACTACACATAACTAGGTGGCAGCAAACACATGTGTTAACAGTGAGATTAAATAAGAGACGATGAGACTAGCAGGGTCCAAAACCTCCCCGTGACCCAGTGGGGCACTGTATTTTGGCCAAGAGGAGTGAAATGCACAGCCAAAGGAATCAGGGGAGAACCTTTATTTAAAATGTTCTTGTCAATACAAAATGAGTGTGAAGTTACAAAAAAGAATGAGTTCTATTGAACTTATAAAATGTGACTATTTAAATAAAAACATAAATTTTCCACTCTTTCTTAACATAAGCATTGAGGGGGGGGGTAAAGTTTATTCAGTTCTGTCCCCACTTGCTTAGATGATCATGAGCTGACACTGTTCATTGTATTTAAAAGTAAGGATTGGCCAGTTCATCGTAATCAGTACCATATTTACTCTGTCTAAAATGTACCTACTTAGGGGCCAACATCTGTTCTCCTATCCTACATGTTTCTCTACTACAAGCCAGTGCTTGCAAGTCTTACACCATCAGTATGAAATGAAGCTTCTGAAATGTAGGCACTTAGTTAAATAGAATTATGCAATAAATCAAATTAATTAAAACTCAATAGGCTTTATATACTAGAAACAATATTTATACGAGTATCAGAACAGATTTTCTGTGTAGCTTATCACTTTAGAGATGTGAAATCTAAAAGAAAGTAAAAAGAATTTTTAAGTTTTGAGGTTTCCACGGCGATGACAATGAAGAAAGTCGTCTTCTGGGTTTAGGCACCGTGTATTCTTCGTTTTGGCCGACGTTTCGGAGGAACGTAGCGCCTCCATCTTCAGAGCAGTTGAATGGCTTGGAAGAGCAGTAGCTACTGCTCTCCGCATTCCAAGCCATTCCACTGCTCTGAAGATGGAGGCGCTACGTTCCTCCGAAACGTCGGCCAAAACGAAGAATACACGGTGCCTAAACCCAGAAGACGACTTTCTTCATTTAAAAAGAAATTGTTCTGGAGTTTGAACCCACACCATTTCTCTTTAGTTGTCATTCTTCAGAAGGACTAACCTAACCTTTCATTACATTTCTGAGATGCAAAAAAAAAACAAATGTTCAAAAACTGTACTGCAATCCCAGTGCATGCCATGCTTTCAAGATTTTCAAACATTGTAGCCACTAAATAATGAAATTTCATACAAACACTAAATTCCATACATTAATTTTAAATGGATTGCTCAAACATAAGAAAAGGAATGCATCTGTTAATATTTTATCACTCTAACTAAGCAAATATGCTGAACATATTTTTTGACTATCAGCAGTACCAACATGAAATAAATGCAATATCTTCCACTGTCATCAAAATATCACATGACCCTCCTTTAATATGGAAGCATAAAAACTTATCTTTTCAAAAGTTTTCTCACCCACCTGAAAGACATCTGTAATAATAACAGCTTTCATGCCACCAATGGTGGAATAGAATGTGCACACAAGACCAATAGCAAGGACAGAAAGAGTCTTTGAGAGTCCTGTAACAGCCTCCAGGGCCAGTGCTGGAGCATACAATACAATGCCCATGTAAAGAATCATCTGCAATGAGAATGCAAATGAAGCAGCCAGGCGTGTCACCTGTCCAAACCTCAGCTCCAGGTACTGCAAAACAGCAATTCAGACCAAAGGTATTAGAACTTGTTTCATTTTAAAGTTGCAACAAGCACATGCTAAACACACCATTAATATAAAATACATCATCAACTTAAATAAAACTGAAGACATAGCAAACTGCCACATAATCCCTGCATCATCAGGAAAGCCATAGAAAGAGTCAAACACATCAATAACTTCAACTGTGATTACAGATATTAACTGGGCAAAGCCTGACTTTACCTTTAACCCAACCTTTCTACATAATCATTTTGCCTGTTCACATTGAACAGCACCACTATCCACTGATTGGCCTACTGTAGCCTGCCCTGGGTGATTATGATAGAGAATTTGGTGGAATGAAGATTGGTAGGGGAAGCTGAAGTACTCAGACAAAAACCCGCCCCAGCGCCACTTTGTCCACCACAAATCCCACTTGACCAGACCCGGGATCGAACCCGGGCCGCCACGGTGGGATGCCAGCGACTAACCGCTTGAGCTATATACATACACAAGTCATAAATTCACTGATCCGTTGTCCGAATTGGACCGGATATTTGTCATGCTCCAGTTACATAGTAGTGGTACAGGTTAATGATGCGGAAAACTCAATTAAAAAAAATTTGGGGGGGGGGCAAAAGAAAAGCAACAGATTTTCATCCTCCTGAACCTATGAAGAAAGTAAAGTAAAAAGTAAAGCTGCCCCTGCACTTAACTAATTAAGCACTATGACATAAAGACATGGAGGAGTGGATGTAGAGATCCATGTTTTCTTGACATCGGCACTAGTTGGAGATGAGTGGTCAGCTTCAAGCCCCAGCCGCTTTACCCCTGGCACCCATTGGATAGGAAGCTGGGTGGGTCCCAGAGCCAGTCTGGATGACATGCAGAAGAGAAAATTATTCACCCTGCTGGGACTTGAATTCTGACCCCTCAGTTGTTCAGCCTGTAGCCAGTCACTATACCAACTGTGCTATTCCACCTCCCACATATTAAGAAAGTATGAAGCAAATCTATGGTGATGATAAATAGGCCACATTTAAAAAGGTGTTTCGTTTCATATGAACTGACCTCCCTGATTCTTAAACAGGTTATGACACTTGTTACTTTCACTAGAAGAAAGACTGCAGTAGTTTAAACATGAATTTCAAATGGAGAAACAAGGAATACATTAAATTTATGAAGAAAACTTTAAAAAAACAACCCCTTGAGAGACTAAGATGAAAATATGATGCCAGAAACTTCAGCCACAAAAGAGTAATGTTGGTTACAGAGTGACATGCCTTGAATTTAATTTGATACATACATATCCTTTATTTTCCATAAATATCCTGATGACAAACGGAAACTGTACTAAAGGAAAGAAGGGATATTGTAAAGAGAGAACACCATATTACAACATTCAGAATTCCACATAATGATTCTCTGTTTGTTTAATAGGATTTCTCTAAACTGTTTGGAGAATAGAATATCAGAAGAGAAAAGGTATAATTATGAAAGGTAAAGGCTGAAGACTAAAGTGGCTATGGCATATTCTAAGTACTGTCTCAGGATTCATATGGAGGAAAATCACAAATCACAAAAATTCAGTCAGGATAGCTTGTCTCCTCATCCATAGCCACCTTGCATCCAGTTAGAGATTAAGTATTCACTTTGAATTCCTTTCTGAACCAGTTATAATGTCTATATTTTTTAACTTGGCTTGCGGCAAAATAAAGTTATATTTGAAAAGCCCAGTTCAACAAGTGATCAAGTCCACAAAGACAATAAAATATAATTTTCTTCAAAAGTATTAAATGCAACTGCTCTAATGTTACTTATCTGAACAAAGGGCTCAAATATATGTATTTCCTTAATACTGCCATGATTTTGAGTGACTAAACAAGGGTTTTGGGCTGGAGACTGGAGTAATTGACCACTTACAGAAAATAAGTAACTGTAACAATATCACTAATTTCCAATCCTTGGCTTTAAACAGTGGAGATTCTTCAGCTTCAGCGTTAACTTTGCTGCTAACTGCAGACTCCATTTCAACTCTCTGACAATTGACTAATTTCTAAACTTGTCCCAGTCATAGCATCTCAGCACAGACCATGTAGAAAGCATCATTCATTGTTGCTCTGCAACTCTTTCCATAGAATGTGCTTTTTTGTGAAGGCGTTACTCAGTAACGGCTGCGTATACTTGCTTATTGAGAATATGTTGTCTAACAGAGAATGTTGTTCGTTGCTTGTTTCAAGGTCAGTAACAGCAGACCCAGTAACAGGTCCATTAGCTACAATTTAAGTACATTCTTTTGATTTATTTTTATTTAAAAATAACTTAAACACATTTTATTGCTTCATTCTAACAAGTCTGTTCTCTGCTGTAAAGATTCCATTCAATAAACATAAACCTGACAAATATTGCCCAATAAAATGAATTTATAAATTAAAGAAAGTCCCTCCACAGACATCATCATGACTTGGAGTGATTAGTTAAGAACATGGACAATTTAGTTTACAAAACAACAAAACAGTAATTTATTATTTGTTAAATATTATACCTACAAGTCTGCTGTTGAAGCTTACTCTCTTCACTGAATCATTAAGAAAATACATTGGAATCTTTGCTTTCACTGTTCACCCTCACATAGATTTTGACACCCTCTCTGCACTCTTCATAAGATGATTCTGTGGTCTTTAGGCAAATGTGGCCATCATAAATAACAGTGAAGAGGAAACTAACTTCTGCCACATGCTTTTCTATGGAGGACATCTTCCATATTATAGAGACGGATGACCTGGAGGGGTACATTCATGTCAAGTGTGTTACCGACTATTTCAGCATTTAGTTTAGCTGGTGAGTTATTTTCTCCTTTTTTTCTTCTACTGCTGTGCTACAAGCAGAAATGTTGCCAATTCAATTCCCAATGAGGTGACTGGACTTCTTCAATTTACTACAGCCCTGGGATCGACTCAACCTCTAACAGAAATGAGTACCAGGAATCTTCCTGGGGGTTAAGGGCAGCTGGCATGTAAGACTGGCCTCACCACCATCTGTGAGTCAATTGTCTAGAAAATGTGAAAGCCTTGATGTCTCACAACTCTCTGAGACTCCACAGTCTGGTATTTTTTAACAGATTTCAAATGTGACAGATGCTCTTTATAATTCTTCACAGATCAGCAGTTGAGTCTGACAAATTTGAAAAGTTGTTTAGGTCTCAGAGCCTTTAACACATCCTGAGCCTTCACTCTGCCTTTCTTTGGTTAAAACAAAGTCACTATCACAAGGAAAATGACTCTAGTTTGTGGCAGGAAGGTGTGCTGTACAGCAATTCTTTCGGCCTGGCTATCATGTAGAGGTGCTGCATTAGAGTAACATCCTATTTTGTAGTTGCATGCATCAGAAAATAAGTACAATAATTTCACCTCAGGTTGGCATTTCTTCAAAAAAGATAAGTTCCAAGCATATCACTGCCTCATTGTCTGATGCAGATTAAGGCACAGAAATAGTAAACCATGGCCTCAAGGCAGGCATGAAACTTGTTTAGCATGGGAGAGTGGAGGGCCCCCAAGGCTCTTAGTTGCCACAAGAGTAATGTATTTTCTGCTCCCTGTCATCAATTGCTTCCAATAAATATAATGCCACTCTCACCATATTTTTTTGGTGCCCTTTGGCCCACAAACTCTTAAACTGCCTCTGCTCATTACATCCCCTCTTGACATCCAATCCTCACCATCTGTATATAACATACATGCATAGAAACATGAACACATACATTCATTACCGAATCACTGAATGTTTCTAGGTGAACACCAGATATATAAATGGATATATAACAAGTGATGCCTGCCCATATCATCTTCCTTCACTTCATCAATTTAATTATACTTGGTGAAGAGTACAAGTTACGAAGCTCCTCATTAGGCAGTTTTCTCCAACCTCCTATCACTTCATCTCTCTTCGGTCCAAATATTCTCCTCAGCACCCTGTTCTCAAACACTCTCAATCTATGTTTTTCCCTAAATGTCAGAGACAAATTTTCACATCCATACACAACCAGAGGTAAAATTATAGGTTCATACATTATAATTTTTACGTTTCTCGACATCGGATAAGGACACAAAAGGTTCTCAGCTGAATGGTAGCAAACATTATCCAAATTCAGTCTCCTCTTAATTTCCTCCTGAATCAAATTTTGATTTGTTACTGTCATTCCCAAATATATGAACTGTGCCACATTTTCAAAATCTCTATTGGCTATCTTTATGTTATAATTATGCTCTGAATTCTGGTAATGAGATATCAACATATACTTAGTCTTCTCTATGTTTACTTTTAGAACAATCTTCCAACTAGCATCAATTAGAGTTTCAGTTTTTTCTTTATGGAAGCTATTGTGGGATTGTCGATGTTCTAAAAGACAACCACGTAAATCTTTAACAATTTTATATATTAAATTGCATAAACTGAATATACAGAATAGCTGCGAAGCTATGTGGAATGTTAAAAGTTGGCTGGCCCTGAAAAGGGCAGTTTGTTCCACCATGAGTGTGCTGGTAGAATTTGCTCCTTTGTAGTGGACCAAGTCTTTAAGGCCGTTCAGCTGGTTTGTCTGGCCAGTAATGTGGTGCTGCATGTGCCTGTAGGAACAGCTGCCTACAGCGCATTTGCTGGAGAGTTGCAGCAACTACGTTAGCTTCCTGGTCGCAGAGCAAAGTTGCTGGAGAGTTGCGGCAACTACGCTAGTTGCCTAGTCACAGAGAGAGACTGCTGGAGAGTTGCGGCAACTGCATTAGCCGTCTAGTAGCAGAGCGCAGTTGCTGGAGAGCTGCAGCAGCTATGTTAGCTGTCTGGTAGTAGAGCACGGTTGCTGGAGAGTTGCGGCAGCTGTCTTTGGCGCAGTAAAGAGCTGATGACTATGATGACTGATCACTTTGAACTGAATGTGATCACTGATGATTGCAAGCTTTGGGCTCCGCTTTTATACCACGCTTCTTGGGCGGAGCTTAAACTTGCAGTTGCGATTGTGAGCACTGATTGGCTAGCGCACGTAATGATCTACAGGTGGGCTGGACATCGAGAGCTGTATAAATTTGAGTGGTGGCAGCAACGTGCGGCAATCTGATATTGACTAGGAGTGAGTGCTGTCTGTTAGACTAGTGAAATCGCATGTTAGCATGTGGGATATTCCCACACTATGTTATCTTATAATAGATTTATATCATCAGCACAGACCAGCAGCTGAAGTGTCCCATCCAACCAATCTACATCAGAAGTATTAATAGCTTATTTCAAATAGCAAATATCTGTCTCAGATTTGAATTTTCAGAAGTAGAATGACCTAGATGAACCTTTTTTTTTTTTATTATTGCTAGTGGGGTGGGACTAAGCCCCTTGTACTGCGGCCACTTCTGGCCTATTGTACCAGCCCCAGATGATAGGTGAGGGTGATTGTGGTGCAATTGATGAAATGAAGATTGGCATAGGAAACTGAAGTACTCGGAGAAAACCTGTCCCAGCACCACTTTGACCATGACAAATCCCACTTGACCAGACCATGGATCAAACCAAGGCCGCAGTGGTGGGAAGCCAGTGACTAACCGCTTGAGCTATGGCGCGGCCCTTAGATGAATCTTAAGCGTTATATGGACATGTTTGTTTTCAGGCGCTTTCCGCAAGAACATTATTTTTTATGAAATGTGGACATGTTCTTTCTTTGAACCAGGCTCTTCAATTGGATTAATTTTTCAAATATGAGTCAGGAGTGCTAACCACTACATCCAATGCCTGATGATTAGGGGAGAGCAGGAGTGACTTTTCCTTCTCCTAGCTACATACATGGTAGGCACTGGTGGCTTGCAGTTTAAAGAAAACAGGAAGAAACCAGTATGCAGCAATGGGGGTAGCTAATCCATATGATATGTTGATCACAATGAATTGTGTCCCATATGCATAGTTTTCCATACTGACTCCAAGCAGAGTGATGGCAGACATGAAGCTTGCCATTAATGAGACAGCTACAGGGAACACTGATAGACTGCGGTCCCCCAGCAGGTATTCCTGCAATTAGAAGAATTAGCAAATTAGTCACCATGTTTCTACATACTGAGATTTTAATTTTGAAATAAACTGTGCAGCAAGAATTGTTGTTAAAAGGAAGAGATGTCATATAAAAACTTAAGATCTCAGCAGAAAGTCTACATATGAGGCAAAAGTAGTACTTAAATAACTAAAGTAACCAGCTTTATTAATCACAGACCTTCATGAGAAGCTAACAGTCACACTCCTAGTTAAGTTATCCATTTTTATGGAATCCAAAATGTCATTACAGTCTTCATAAGGATCCATAATTATCCCTATCCTGAGCCAAAAGAAACCAATCCACATCCTCCCACTCTACTTCCTTAAGATGCATTTTAATATGATCCACCCATGTGGTCTTCACATCTCAGATCATCTGACCAAAATTTTGTATGTATTTATTATCTCTCTGATGCATGCTACATCCCCCAGGCACGGTATTCTCCTTGATTTCATTATCCTAATAACAGGCAAAGTACAAATAATGACCATTCTTCAGCCTTCATTACTTCTTTCTGGCCAAGCCGAAGGTCCCCTTAACCATTCTTTTCACAGACACCCTTAACCTATGCTAACTGAGTAACCAACTAACTAACTAACTCCATGAAGCTGAGTCCTTTTCAGAAGTAGCCAGTCACTCAAAAATGTCCCACCATTGCATGGAACACAAAGGTTCACTACCATGTTCATAAGAGCCCTCCACTAGTCCCTGTCCTGAGCCAGGTGAATCCAGACCATACCACACCATCCTATTTCTCTAAGTCCATTTCAATATATGTATCATATTATCATTCACCAACATCTAGGTCTTCCTAGCAGGATTTTCTATCTAACTTTCCCTCAAAAAACCTACATCCATTCTGTTTCACCCTCTTGCATGCTATGTGCACTGCCCATCTCACCCTCTTTCACTTAACCAGTATAATTGTATTTGATAAAAAAGTAAATGTCATGGGGTTCTTGACCTATGTTCTTTCTTTAATGCAAGAGACTAAGTTTCATGCCCATTACAACAATAGGTAACATTAGATCTGAATATTTAAGTCTTTATGTTTTTATATAGCACAAGGGAAGACAAGAGATATTATATTTAAGCATCCTGTTGCACTCTACACGATAAATGATACAAACTCCGTCCTAAGTGCAAACAATATATATTTATATGTCTTTGATCTTGTTCTTTCTACACTACATGTTTCGGCCTCTATCGGCCATCATCAGGTGTATACTCTTACATACCAGACACATATCAACGATGTAGATGTTGATAATACGAAGAATGTGACATTGTGTTTTTAAATGTTAAGTTTTAGACTGGGTTCAGTGTGGCAGCAACGTTAAGAGTATACACCTGATGATGGCCGATAGAGGCCGAAACATGTAGTGTAGAAAGAAAAAGATCAAAGACATATAAATATATATTGTTTGCACTTAGGACGGAATTTGTATCATTTATCATTAAGACAAGAGATTCTGAGCTGAATGATAGTGTGCATTCCCCGAATTTAATCTACCCATAACAATTCTGTGGCAGAAATTCTTATTTGTTTCTGGGCATTGTCGACAAATCTATTAGCCACATTCATATTGTGATTCTCCTGCATTCTGATGGCAAAGCATGAGCATGTACTTGCCTTTACGAAAGTATTAACATCCTTGAATGCTGTATGAAGCATAATATTCAGCAGAATCATGGACAGTGAATACTAAAGGCATGTTCGGAATCATAACTGTCACAATGAAATGGGCTAAAAAATACGAATGCGAAAAATACATAAGGAACCAGGACAGTATGGACCGCGCCATAGCTCAAGTGGTTAGTCGCTGGCTTCCCATTGCGGCAGCCCGGGATCGATCCCAGGTCTGGTCAAGTGGGATCTGTGGTGGACAAAGTGGCGCTGGGGCAGGTTTTCTCCAAGTACTTTGGTTTCCCCTGCTAATCTTCAGTCCACTAATTTCTCCACAATCATCCTCATCTATCATCTGGGGCCAGTACAATAGGCCAATAGTGGCTGCAGTACAAGGGACTTAGTCCCAGCCCACTAAGGAAAAAAAATATCAGGACATTATGGAAGAAATGAGAACTAAATTATAATTTTTCAAAATTTTTAAGTATATCTGCAATGTTGACAGAGTGCCCAGAAATGGATATTCTAGGTGAATCAGATACATGCATACTGACTCTAACAGGCAAGGATGAATTTGAAAACAGTACTGGATAAATGGGACTCAAGATCCAATTCTTTTGACTATTTTGTGGAGATATAAAATGATTTCTGCTGCTCCATTAACACAGAATAATTCATACGGGATATTATTTTTCAGAATTTTATTTTACAGCCTTATAATTGTGATATAAGTCTGGAATTTGAATACTCAGAAGCTTGGAGAAGTCTACTGCAACAGAGATGTCCTACAACCATCTCTGTTATGTCCCTTTGAATCTACATGCATATGTCCCACATGACCAATTCTAGCCCTTTTTGTGCCAGGTACAAATCTGATAATCTGAATCCAGCCAAGTTACATGTCAGAGGTAAAACCAGGATTGAAGACCAAAACTGCACATATCATAAATACAATGGAAGAATGCGGAGGATCAATGGAAGATGGAAGAAAAGTACTTGGAAATAATATGCCCTTGTTCCACTTTGCCCACCATTAACCCAACATGAATCATCCTGGATTGATCCTGAGTGTCCATGGAGAAGGAACCACTTAAGCTATGGTATGGATCATGTTTGTTGTTGCATCAATTAATTTCTTAAAATTTAATAAAACAAGGGCTTAAATTTTGAGGAAAAGCCACTCTGAGACTATATTATTACTGACTTGTGTTGTCTTCTGTCTGCCACCAGTGAAGCGGTAATACACTCCAATAGCTGCTGAGATTACAAGCATCATTGCCAGCACTACATAATCCCAGGCACCAAAAATTCCTGTATCATTTTCTGCCATTACTTCTCCAAGCCTGAAAAAGTGAAGCATAGTTCAAAAAAATTACACCAGCCCATTAGTCAGATAGTTTAAGAAGGGATTAATCCTCCCATTGCCAAAATTTGGTATATTCTTTGCCCAGATAAGGTGTCCCCCAATTCCACACCATCATATATTCATATTTAAAATTTTTAAAATCGCTTTGCATACTAGCACAGAATAGACACTGCTGTGGCTGGGGTTCCTTAAGAATCGGTATTTATCACCGCCGTGCCACTGCTTACCATGGTGATACCCCTAGCAAGCTGTGCTGATATGGCGAATGGTGAGCCTGTTTCTGGCAAATTCACAGCCTTCAACTTATCATGTTAGTGTGAGCAGTGTTCTGTTACATCTGTACAGAACTGAGTTCCCTTTTGAGAGCCAGCGCTGTTTTGCAGAAAATTTCAAATGAATGACACTAACATTTACAAATAGGCACATCTTCGTTTTCTCATAAATACTTTATCAAGATGCACGTGGTAGCGTAGTTGGTTGAGGCACTATGCTACAAGCCAGAAGGTCGTAGGTTCAAGTCCTGATGATGTCATTGGATTTTTTCAATTGACCTAATACTTCCAGCTGCACTATGGCCCTGGGTTGACTCAGCCTCTAAAAGAAATGCATATCAGGAATATTCTTGGGATATTCATGGGGGTAAAGGGTGGCCGGCATGTAGGGCTGACAACCTTACCGCCATCTATGAGCCAATTGTCTAGAAAATGTTGGAACCTCAACATCTCACAACCCTATGGGCCTCCACGGCCTGTTACAGGGATACCTTTACTTTCTACTTATGGTGTATGAGCACTACTTTATATGAACCCATTTGAAATAGAGATAGTTCGCTGCAAACTTAATCTCATAGTCAAGGCCGCGCCATATCTCATGCGGTTAGTCACTGGCTTCCCACCGTGGCGGCCCGGGTTCGATCCCGGGTCTGGTCAAGTGAGATTTGTGGTGGACAAAGTGGTGCTGGGGCAGGTTTTCTCCGAGTACTTCGGTTTCCCCTGCCAATCTTCATTCCACCAATTGCTCCACAATCACTCTCACCTATCATCTGGGGCTGGTACAATAGGCCAGTAGTGGCCGCAGTACAAGAGACTTAGTCTCCCCCAGTAAGAGTAATAATAGACAGCAGCAAAAGCGGTCAATTTTATGCCATATGTCATACTAGAACAAAGGCAGTTTATCTGTTACTCTTAAGTATACAGATAAAGGTTTTAATCAATCCTTAATTCCTATGTAACTATTCGTATAAGAGTTAAAATACACAGTGTTCCGTTCAAAACTCTCACAGTTTAATTAATCATTGCGAACAAATTGTGATAAATTATGGATTATAACTAACACTAGAGGAAAGAAAAACTCAAAGAATTTTATTTCCGGTTTTCTTCGGTGAAGCCACAGTGGCTGGCCGCGTATACCTTGACATGTCAGAACAGTTCCTGTATCCCCAGGTAGCAGATCTGCAGCCTAACATAATCTTCCAACAAGATGGAGCCACCCACATTGGGGTCTGGATGTTCGGAGGTCCCTCAATGCCAACTTCCAAGATCGCTGGATTGGACGTGGCGGACCAATTTGGTGGCCACCACGTTCACCGGACCTCACTCCGCTCGATTTACGTGAATGATCCTGTGTTCGTCCCTCCAGTGAATTACTTCCCAGATTTACGAGCCCGCATCCGTGAAACGATTGCTACTGTACCAACTGACATGTTGGAAGGAACGTGGCATGAAACTGAATACAGATTGGATAATGTGTGTGCTACCAATGGTGCGCATGTAGAGGTTTATTAGTGCGTCAAATAAAAATTTTTTAGTTGTTCTTGTGTTTCCTACAGCTTCATTTTCCTACCATTCATACTTTCTGTTCTAAGATCTGATAAACTGTCGGAGGTTTGAATGGAACACCCTATTTGCTACGCTCTAAAATATCACTTAATTATTTCAGTATCACCAAGCTGTGACGTAATTGTCACATAACAGCAATTAAAATTAAATCAGTTGTCTAAAACAAAGAGGAAGGAGTTGGTACACAACTCCATCTATTTGAACAAGGCGCTCTCTCTCTCTCTTAATTCCCAGGCTGAGGATTCAGATTGTAGCTGGAAAATACAAGGTTTCATCTTCCTAGACTGCCTTAGCGTTTTACTTCTTTCAGATTCTAATTAACTCGAGATTTCCAAGAAGTGACAATTTACAGTCTTGAATGCACGACTCGTTTTATTCGAGTTCCAGGCACAATAGATCACTTTTGTCGCGGTGCAAGAGCCAAGAAGGCCCACCCCTTATACTCGTACATTCATTCATTCATTCATTCATTCATTCATTATCTGAGTTCTATTCACTCAATTTATGAGATATATCATCATAATATACTTCAATGTAGGCTTCCATTAATCTGTTCCTTGTCAAAGACTATACACCCATCGCCCTCTCGGTAGTCCAACGTTTCTCCGTCCATTTCAGTGGTAATTCTTAACTTTTCCAGTCGGTCTTGAGGAGTTCAGTCTCAATATGTGATTATATCATTTGTTTCTGTGGTCTTGGATTCTCGCTTCTAAAGCATATATTTGTAATGCATTGTGTACCGCCATATTGGTTATGTAACCGTATAACCAGCGACAGAGTTAACTTCTGTTGAAGAAAGCAGTCTTCTGGGATGTGGCGCAGTGTAGATATTGTGTTAACCGACGTTTCGGAGGAACGTATCGCCTTCATCTTCAGGGTAGAAGAAAGAGAAGAAATCGGCGAGCGAACCAGCGTGAGCAGATGCTAACAGAAACCTCAAATCTTACATTCATTTCTGTTGTTTCAGTTTTCCTCTTCTGAGATCTATTCTGAGCCGGGCTTTCACTACCATACTTAAGCATGGAACGTGCTATTACCTTACACAATTTAATCTGTGTATTCTTTCTGATTTCATTTCTTAGCGTTATTTGCACTGTTCAACATATACGTTGATATCTTGGCAGCTTCTCTTCAAGGTCTTTGTTACGACTGTATGATAAGGTGCATCAATTATTACCATGTTTTACCCTACTGGGAATTTGCCTTGAAAAACCATATTGCTGAAATTGTCAGATTATTGTTGTTTGTTATAATTTGTAGCTGATTAGCAGCTGTTTGTAATTAAGATCCAGATTCTGAAAATATTAATTGGTCGTCAGCAAATAAGATTGTGTTCAAAACTGTTAAGCCTAATCTAAAATCTGGTTTTAGCCGAATCTTCATAACTTGACTTCCCGAATATAAACCTACACACTAAAAAGGGTTGGAGACATAGAACCTTCCTGCCTGCATCCATATTCGCGGTAGAAGAGTGAGTATTCTTATGCCTTGATCAATTGGTACTTGCAAGAACAGAGAATGGTCTATATTAAGGTTACTCAATTATTCAGCAGAACAACAATAAAATATTCATTACTCGCCTGCTTTCAAAACGTCAGCAACCAAGAACCACATCGAAACAGCAGAGCTCTGCCTATTCGACGCCTTAAAACTAGTATGAGACAGCAACATACAGCACAGCATGAAAAAGAGTAATCAACTGAATTACAACAACTATGGCCCATATCGATTAATTTTAACACAGTATTAATTTGATACTTTTATCAGAAATGCATACATTGGATTTTTAAAATCACTTATATACACACATATATGAAAACTCCGTGTCTTTAGTCCGCAAGCGAACTATACCAACCGAGCGACCGCCGCTTGTCGGCGAAGTTAGTGCCAACTTTAGCGGATAGAGGGTGTCGCGTGGTCAGCGCAACGGATCCCCACGGCTATTAATTTCGGCCTTCTAGACCATATATAGAACTCATACAATTTCACTTTAATAAAGTACATCCCCAGAAGATGATCTTGTTTGACAGAAACATGTCGAGCTTTGAAAAACATGTAATCAGTATAAGGAAATATACTAGATACGCTGTATTTAGACGGTAATTTTAATTTTTTCTAAAGTCATAAATTAGAAAATGGGGCGGCGTGCTGGGAACCTTAGAGGAATGCGCAGATAAATGCTCTAGACCTGGTGCAAAAGAAAGCGGCTAAATTTGCACATCGTAGAAATGATTCGAATGGGGAACCTTGACACAGCGCAGGCAGATGGCTCGCATATGCGCTCTCTTCAAAGCATACACGGGAGAGCGGGCTTGGAAGGCTATAGGTGATAGATTACAAAGACCATGCTATCTGAGCAGGGGCGATCATGACAAGAAAATTAGGAGCAGAAAACAAGAGACAGATATCGGAAAATATTCCTTTGTAAACAGGACCATCCAGCTCTGGAACCAGCTACCTGCAGATGATTTAGGGACTCTCTCCTGTAAACCAAGTAATTTTAGGAAAAGAGTTAAGAAAGTGATAAATAAGGCGAAGTGAATATGTGGGAGAAATCATCCAAAACGGCAGTGAAGTGAAGTGAAGTGAACTGTGATGAGGATGTGAAGTGTAGGTAAGTGAAGTGAAGTGAAATGAAGGGAAGTAAACTGTGGCGAGGATGTGAAGTGTAGGTAAGTGAAGTGAAGTGAAATGAAGGGAAGTAAACTGTGGCGAGGATGTGAAGTGTAGGTAAGTGAAGTGAAGTGAAATGAAGGGAAGTAAACTGTGGCGAGGATGTGAAGTGTAGGTAAGTGAAGTGAAGTGAAATGAAGGGAAGTAAACTGTGGCGAGGATGTGAAGTGTAGGTAAGTGAAGTGAAGTGAAATGAAGGGAAGTAAACTGTGGCGAGGATGTGAAGTGTAGGTAAGTGAAGTGAAGTGAAATGAAGGGAAGTAAACTGTGGCGAGGATGTGAAGTGTAGGTAAGTGAAGTGAAGTGAAATGAAGGGAAGTAAACTGTGGCGAGGATGTGAAGTGTAGGTAAGTGAAGTGAAGTGAAATGAAGGGAAGTAAACTGTGGCGAGGATGTGAAGTGTAGGTAAGTGAAGTGAAGTGAAATGAAGGGAAGTAAACTGTGGCGAGGATGTGAAGTGTAGGTA